TTTGAATTTGAAAACTCCAATTTAAAATTTTAAACTCTTAACTATTGAATTAACTTTTAAGGTATAATTTAAATAAGAGTTAAACACGGTGAATATTCACTTAATATTAGATTTGGCAAAATTGGACCCAATCCAAAAATTTGATCCAAAAATTTGACCCAATCTATCTGTTATGAGTAGGTCATGGGTCTTATGTGTTAATTCGAAATCCAAAATGACCTAAATTAAAATTATCCAAACTCAAATGGGTTGGGTCACAGGTGGATCGAGTCATTCGAAATGATTCGAACTTTTTTTTATTTATTTTTTATTTGATTACTTAAAAATTAATTTTGAATTTCTAATTTTCTAATCCTAAAAGTATAAATAAATAAAATATTCAAACCCTAATCTCTTATCAATTTCACTTTCTCTCAACTTTTCCTCTTCTCCACTCTCACTCTCCCCTTCTTCATCTCAAGCTCTCTAATCCTTCTATTTGGTGGCACTTGGGTAAAAAATTAGATTAGGTGGCACATAGTAAGTTATATTATATGACATCATAAAAAAGATAATTTTAAAAAAATAAAAAGCAAGAAGAGTTACTGAAAATCAAAACCTAGTGATTAAGATACCCTCATAACCATTAAAAGTACAAAGATAAGAATATCAAGAACGTCAAAGTTTGTTCTTAGTTGTTAATTTATTCTTAATTAATAATTTGTTCATAATTAATAAAAATCAATTTTGATCCAATTTTTTCTTGTATTTGGTTAGATATGGGATTCGCCTTTTAAACTTTAATATTAAATAAGGTTATATTTTTTTGTATAATGTCCTCATAAATATTGAATAGAGCTGTATTTTTTGTATAATACTTTTATAAATATTGAATAGGCACTAGATATTAATATATATATTGGATTTGTCTTTCGAACCCTAATCCTTCATGTCTCTTTTTTTAATGAAGATTAATACATTTATGAAATTATAAATTCTAATATTGTATAAATATTATATATTTGACATATATTCTAGTTTCACCTATATAATCACTAATATTTTCCTTTTCTTTTGTTGAGATTGGAAAAAAATTGAATTATGAAATAGAAATTATCATTTAACTAAATAGTTAATTAGTAATAAAGTTTTTTAACTAAATAGTTAATTAGTATTAGATTTTGTTAAAGAAAAATATAGAAAATTTTTAATTTTAATTTTAATTATTTAAAAGTTGGATCCACCCGACTCAACCCGAGACCCATGTGGGTGGGTCATGGATCAACTTCATTAACCTGACACCCAAAATGACCCAATCCGAACAACCCGAGATCCGAGATGACCCGATCCAAACTCACCCAATCCGACCTGTTTACCAGGTCTACTTAATATCAATAATAGTAAATAAACTCCTAAAATTAATGAATTATTAGGAATGCAGAAGATAATGCCTCTAGGGTTTTCATTATTGTAAAGGAGTATTTACACATGTGGTATATTGTAGGAAAAACCCTAACTACCCTTTACAAGTATACAACTATAATATATACATTATCACCCCCCCTCAATTTGAGCGGGCATACAAAGCACGTTCAAATTAGCCCTCTGAGTATGAAACAAAGGCATAGAAAGAGCCTTGGTTAAGACATCAGCACGCTGAAAATATGAAGAAACATGACGAATAGACAAAATCCCAAAAGCAATCTTCTCTTTCACAAAATGAATGTCAATCTCAATATGCTTAGTGCACTGATGCTGAATGGGATTAAGAGAAAGATAGATAGCACTAAGATTATCACAAAATAGCACCGATGCTATAGGAAGAAAAGTATAAAGCTCAAAAAGTAACTGACGAACCCATAATACCTCAGTAGCAGCATTGGCAAGAGCACGATACTCGGCTTCTGCACTAGAACAAGCAACCATGTGTTGTTTCTTAGATGACCAAGAAATAAGAGAATTGCCCAAAAAAAGACAATATCCAGAAATAGACCAACGAGTATCAATACATCCTACCCAATCTGCATCTGTGAACATATGCAAAGAAAGCAAAGAATGACGATATAGTTGTAAACCATAGTCCATGGTGCCCTTTAAATATCGTAAGATCCATTTTACAGCTTGAAAATGAGAAGTGGCAGGCTTATGCATAAAATGACAAACTTGACCCACCGCAAAAGTAATATCAGGCCAAGCAAAGGTAAGGTAATGCAAAGCACCAACAAGACTACGATACAAAGAGGGGTCATGATATAAAGCACCATCATCAACCATTAATTTCATCTTTGGACTCAACGATGTGGAGGCAGGCTTATAATCACGCATACCACTCTTAGCAAGCAAGTCAACAACATATTTAGATTGAGATAAGAACAAGCCAATAGCATTAAAATGAGCACTAATGCCAAGAAAATAATTTAGAGAGCCCAAATCAGTCATCTGAAATTCAAATTTCAGTAGGGAAATAATTTTAGCCAACAAGGACAGAGACGAAGCAGTGAGAATAATGTCATCCACATAAAGAAGAAGATAAGCCATCAAACCACATTTGCAGAACACAAACAAGGACCAATCAGACTTAGCTTGAACAAAGCCACAAGAGAGGAGAAAAGAAGTAAACTTGTGAAACCATGCCCGAGGAGCTTGTTTCAAGCCATAAAGTGCTCAGTGTAACTTACAAACATAATTTGGATGAGTGGAATCAATAAAAGCAAGCGGCTGAGACATGTAAATAGTTTCAGAGAAAGTACCATTAAGAAAAGCATTCTTGACATCAAGTTGATGAATAGGCCAAGAACACATTACTACAAGAGAAAGCACAACCCAAATAATGACAAGTTTGACAATAGGACTAAATGTTTCATCATAATCAATACTGGGTTGTTGAGTGTAACCCCAATGTTGTTTCATTGATAGGTTTGGAGCGAATGAGCGTCCGAAACCTGCCCCCATTATAGAAAACTAAATGAGAACCTAAATCCTTGTGAGATTTTTTCCCTGTCAAAATGTGCAGTTCACCCATTTTCCTTGTCAAAATGTCAGTTCACTCAAGACACGTTTCGAGATCTAAGAGGACAAACAACATTGAAGGTCACTTTTTTAGAATGTCAATTTTATTAAAAAAGTTTTTATTATGAAAATAATTAGAAAAATATTATATAAAAAATTGTTAAATTTTGTAATAAAATTTTATTAAAATTTAATTTAATTGTTTAGTATTTTGTTTTTGATAAAAAAATTAGTATAGAAAAAGTTGGTAGAAATTGAAATTGTCAAGTAATTTTTACATTGAAAAAGTTGAGGGAAAACTTTTTCTTTTAAAAAGTATAAAAAAAAAACTTTACAAATTAAAAATTGTGTAAAAAAAATAGACATGTTTTGTTAGAGAGCAAGTTCATTAAAAATGTTTTTGCTAGAAAAGTAACTAAGAAAGTGCTATATAAAAAGTTAGAAAATATTATAT